GAAAATCGGAATGGGTTAGAGTTGTGCAGAGTTGTGCCATTTGCAAAACACCAGTGAATGAGTGGGCCTTCAGGGTTTACTCCAGAATTTGGTCAACGAGGGTCAAATGGGCCCCCGTCTGTAATTTTAGGGGCCCTTTTTCAAGCAAGGCGGTCCCCCGAAAGGTATTTGAACTTATTGGTATAGACTGTTCAATGACATAAAAAATGTTTATTGACGCTTTGCCACCATTTTGGAACATTCTGGGCAGACTGAAAAAGCCTGGGCTCGAATTACTGCAGAATCCCAGATGTTTGTCTGGTGAAATAATGACTCAAACGAAGAAGGCAATTAAGTCTATTTAGCGGCCGTCAAATCAGTGTTGTTGTCAGTGATGTTTTCGAATACTTTATTTCAAAAAAATAGGGATGTTACTAAAGCGGGGAGCGGGAAGCGGGGAGCGGGGAGTGGGGAACGGGGAACGGAAGTCTGGAAACGAGTTGTCAGCGAAAACCTCCACAAAAATCCAAAATGGCGGTCCAAAAAACGAGAGAGAGAAAGAAGAAGACAAAGAAAGGAATTCGTGCCTTGGTTGAAATCAGGTGGGGACGAAATTGCAAATCAGACTCACATTTTACGTTTACGTTTTGAGCAGATGGTATGTTTTTTCGATATTCAACCTGTTTCATTTACAATATGATAAGGACACTCACATTACTCCTGGATTACTCCGTTTACTTTAGACCGTCGCTTAATCCTGCCTGTTTATCCCCCTGAATGTTCTTTTTCCCACTCAGACAAACTCTTGGAGAGTAAAGGTTTTATCCAAGCCCATTATATGCCCTGTTTTGAGAATGCTTGGTAAATAACTCGCAGGCATTGTAATGAGAAATAAACGTGGAATTTATTAATGCATGTACATATAGTGTTCTCGCGTTCTGTGCTTGAGTCAAACTTTGTACAGCTATTAGTATTTAAAACTAACGGCTAAAACTTGTATTTTACAATTTTTTTATAACGGGGAAAGCTTGTTGTTGTTGTTAGAGTTATATTAAAGTTATTGAGTGATGAGTTATGAATCGTTTAAGGTCAGGGTTTGGCATTGAAAGCAGGGTTAAGCACTGACTTCAAGAAGGTGGTCGACAAAACACTGACCCCCATTCCATGAACTACCCCCAATGACTACCCTAAAATAGACTATGCCACTGAAGTTAAGTGATTAGGGTTAGGAAACTGAGTGAATCAGGTTCCATTTAGGGTCCTTATACTGGGAAAACTGACCTAAAACTTCATTCACTCAGTTTCCTAACCCTAATCACTAAACTTCAGCGGTGTAGTCCATTTTAGGGTATGTCCATGAAGTGTGGGTCAGTGTTTTGTCCACCACCCTTCAAGAAGTGTTTATTCAGGTTTGTCACTATATTTACTGTATGTACCAGTATTTGTTTAAAGCAGATAGTAGCAGTTAATCCGAGATACTTGAAGTTTTTCACTTGACTCATGACTCATCGACTCAATTATTTAATTGCCTCTATAATTTCAACTCCTTGACCCATAACGTGGCCTAATTTTAAACCGGCATTTTCTTGGCCTTTACTAGAAATGCCAAAGCTCATTTAGTGCATGTTTTTTTCTAATATAAACACAAAAAATTGTACTGTCAGTCCTCTACCATACCCCCTCCTGAATGCTTAGGCCAATATTACATGGCACAAGGCTAAAGAGAGTGAGAGACATACTAGAAATGCTGCACTGACTACTGCCAACATATAGCATGATTTGTACCAATACCTTTTTGTGCCAAGGAAGTGGTACATTCATGGTTGTCTTGTTGTAGTCCTCTAAGGAGAGGGAGGCTGAATAGAGGATTTACAGTAAAAGGTCTAAAGGGAATTTTTGCCAGTTCACTCTCTATGGAGATGAAAGGGTTTGAGGCAATTATTCAGTTTTCCCCTTATAACCTAGTTATGGTCAAAAGATACAAATATCAAAATCAATTTGAAATGTCATTTTGAATATAAAATGGGTGTAAAAGCAAATTCTAATCATTTTTTTAAAGATACTCCTTTGTTGTGAAGGATTTTGGTAGAGATCTCTTAACTATCGCCATTTGCTGGCATAGGGTTCTATTATCAACCCGTTATCGCTTGATATAAAGAAATGAACTGGCCCCCTTTTTGACCTTTTTGCTAAAGAGTAATGCATATGAAGGGAACTATACAATATCAGCATGCCAAATAATACAGAATTCGGCATGTACTGGCACAGATTAAGGAAAAAAGAGAAACCAAAAAAATGAAGGTGCCGTGAAAATAATTATGATTTAGTTGTGCTTGGTTTTAGTGATGCATATTCACTATTGTATACAGTGCTTTTCAACACGTTTTGTGAGTGTAGTTTACATTATAAAATCATCACATTTTCTTAGTTTACTTTAGAATGAAAGAGTCCAAGGCTAGGTTTTAAAATCAGCCAAAAGAAATGGGATATGCTAATTGCTCATCCAGATTGCACCATGTTATTGCCTTAGATGAGGTTGTTTTAACAACATATCAAAGATCGAAGTAAAAGAAAATTTAACTCTTCAGGTCCCATGATCGACCGAAATCAATTTTCTGGAAACAATATCAATACATTATCCAGAGGAATGTTTATGACAAGTAATGAAATAATCACCAAAGGGAAAATGCTTTAATCTTCAACCAAATTCTGTCATCTAAATCTTTAAGGAAATGTAAAGAGATAAGTGTGGACAATGTTATTTGTATGTGGATAATGAAGTTTAGAGGGTTAAGGTATGAGTAGGTATGACTAGGATCGTTATGTTGAGTTAACCAAATGGGTTAGGTATAAACTAACATTTCTGAAACAGTTTAAATTCGTAAGTGGCTGCCTAAATACTTTTATGATATTGTATAGTTCCCTTCATATACATTACTCTTTAGCAAAAAGGGGGCCAGTTCATTTCTTTATATCAAGCGATAACGGGTTGATAATAGAACCCTATGCCAGCAAATTGTGATAGTCAAAAGATCTCTACCAAAATCCTTCACAACAAAGGAGTATCTTTTAAAAAGTGATTAGAATTTGCTTTTACACCCATTTTATATTCAAAATGACATTTCAAATTGATTTTGATATTTGTATCTTTTGACCATAACTAGGTTATAAGGGGAAAACTGAATAATTGCCTCAAACCCTTTGATCTCCATAGAGAGTGAACTGGCAAAAATTCCCTTTAGACCTTTTACTGTAAATCCTCTATTCAGCCTCCCTCTCCTTAGAGGACTACAACAAGACAACCATGAATGTACCACTTCCTTGGCACAAAAAGGTATTGGTACAAATCAGGCTATATGTTGGCAGTAGTCAGTGCGGCATTTCTAGTATGTCTCTCACTCTCTTTAGCCTTGTGCCATGTAATATTGGCCTAAGCATTCAGGAGGGGGTATGGTAGAGGACTGACAGTACAATTTTTTGTGTTTATATTAGAAAAAAACATGCACTAAATGAGCTTTGGCGTTTCTAGTAAAGGCCAAGAAAATGCCGGTTTAAAATTAGGCCACGTTATGGGTCAAGGAGTTGAAATTATAGAGGCAATTAAATAATTGAGTCGATGAGTCATGAGTCAAGTGAAAAACTTCAAGTATCTCGGATTAACTGCTACTATCTGTTTTAAACAAATACTGGTACATACAGTAAATACAGTGACAAACCTGAATAAACACTTCTTGAAGGGTGGTGGACAAAACACTGACCCACACTTCATGGACATACCCTAAAATGGACTACACCGCTGAAGTTTAGTGATTAGGGTTAGGAAACTGAGTGAATGAAGTTTTAGGTCAGTTTTCCCAGTATAAGGACCCTAAATGGAACCTGATTCACTCAGTTTCCTAACCCTAATCACTTAACTTCAGTGGCATAGTCCATTTTAGGGTAGTCATTGGGGGTAGTTCATGGAATGGGGGTCAGCGTTTTGTCGACCACCTTCTTGAAGCCAGTGCTTAACCCTGCTTTCAATGCCAAACCCTGACCTTAAACGATTCATAACTCATCACTCAATGACTTTAATATAACACTAACAACAACAACAAGCTTTCCCCGTTATAAAAAAATTGTAAAAAACAAGTTTTAGCCGTTAGTTTTAAATACTAATAGCTGTACAAAGTTTGACTCAAGCACAGAACGCGAGAACACTATATGTACATGCATTAATAAATTCCACGTTTATTTCTCATTACAATGCCTGCGAGTTATTCATCAAGCATTCTCAAAACAGGGCATATAATGGGCTTGGATAAAACCTTTACTCTCCAAGAGTTTGTCTGAGTGGGAAAAAGAACATTCAGGGGGATAAACAGGCAGGATTAAGCGACGGTCTAAAGTAAACGGAGTAATCCAGGAGTAATGTGAGAGTGCCAGGTGTCTCGAATACTAAGTCCTAAGACCTTATCATATTGTATATGAAACAGGTTGAATATCGAAAAAACATACCACCTGCTCAAAACGTAAACGTAAAATGTGAGTCTGATTTGCAATTTCGTCCCCGTCTGATTTCAACCAAGGCACGATCGAATTCCTTTCTTTGTATTCTTCTTTCTCTCTCTCGTTTTTTGGACCGCCATTTTGGATTTTGTGGAGGTTTCCGCTGACAACTCGTTCCCAGACTTCCGTTCCCCGTTCCCCACTCCCCGCTCCCCGTTCCCCGTTTTAGTCACATCCGTTTGTATCCGTTCGAGGATAAACCAATCAAATCGCCCTTTTTCTATTCGTTTGTTGCTTCTGTTTTGTTCGCTCGTTTTCATTTCAAGGTCATACGAAAAATCGCTCTATTTTTGTTGTACTTTATAAGCCTTGTTGGTATACCAGACGCACAGCCAATCACATCTCAGATTAGTCAGAACTTATGCAGGTGAGATCATGCGTGAAATGCACTCTGTCTCAACAAAGTAAACAAGAATTATGGCAAAATAGTGTTATAGTGAAACCTGCCTAAGACTCATCGTATACTCACTTGTGATCATAGTACTGTCTGATACTTTGTATCGTTTAACATTACGAAGCTCAAGCTCAAGCTCACAACTGTAATTTCCTCCATCTCTGGCCGCGGCATTTTTTATAACTAGTGGTGCCAGTGAGTCTGCAGGGTTGTCTGGGTCCGGGTTTCTCACACTTTGCTGTACAACACCATTTTTAAACCATGAAATCCTTTTCAGCCCAGTCCGATAGTCCTGGGCAAAAGTAATGTTGCAAAAGATGGTGATACTGTCACCGTGTTGAAGCATGTTGACTTCAGTCATAGACACAGAAGGAATTTCGTTTCCTAAAAGAAAAAAATAAGTAAGTAAGTAAAATGCTATGAAATGCGCTAATGGGCTTTTTACCATGAAAAACCTGCTTATTTTCCTTAAAATATATCTACGGAAAAATGCTTTCAATAACCTCTTATAATATTTTTGCTTTCATTTTGTGTCTGCTGAATTGGCGCAGTGTTCGACACGGATTCACAGCTGAGCAGTTTTGTTTTTTTCATGTTTGATTTATCGTGGCCTTTTTTCCACTTTATTTCCTCTGTTTCGCGAGGTTTTGCGTTACACGTGTTTTCATAAATTTGAGACTAAACTTACTCAAAATGACGTTCACACTGAAACCATGCTTGCGCTCCAAGGGTGATCCAACCGCAAAAGCGTGACATTCGTGCCTTCCCAATTGACCATACGTACTGTCGTGTTGTAGCGTTACATTCCGTATGTGCATCGTGACAATGAGCTTCTTTAATTTCTTTCCACCTGTAGAAGTGTTAGGAATGTTAGTAGGTAATTAATTTTCACACCGTCGAATAGCTTCCTTGCATATTTGTCATTGGCTGCGGGGATAACTATAGATAGCTATTTCGGTAATGTGACCTCTTCTCTGTTCGCTCTAACTATAGTTAGAAAAATTTACGCCTCTGCTGATCCAAAACAATACAGACTTGGGGCCTGTTTACATGGAGGTGGGGGACCCCAGGTAGGTGAAGTAACCCCCTTAGGTGGGGTAAAACAATAACCCTCCTTTACATGCAATCTTACAACCCGCCATCCCGGGGTGCACTTTCTCAAGATTATTCAATGGTCGCTAAGCACCTAAACAAGAAATATGCTGGCAAACCACGTGTTTTGGCGATTAATGCTCTTCAACACTCACTTGCTGCTCTTGCTGCAACATTCAGTGCTGTGGCTTTCTATTGTTTCCTTTAATAATGATGCAAAGCCACCACCAAAGTGAATTTTGCGCGAATTTGATGTATCACGAATCCGACCCCGGCAGGCGGGTTACCCCACCTTGAACGTTTACATGGCAAAATGTGACCCCGGCTGAGAGGGTTACCCGGTCTGGCAGACCGGGCTACCCACCTTGGCGGGTCACCCCACCTATTAGAGACCTTTAACATCAGGTAAACCGCAAACCACAATCCACAAACCGCAGTTACGCGTTTGCAGTTTCACGTTGCCGAGATTTCAAACTTTAGCAAGGCGTTCAGTTCAGTTCAGTTCATTTTTATTTAGCCAAAATATAATACAACAGAAGAATACATATAGGAATTGTAAGGTTGCAAGGGAGCCCAGAAGAAACCAGAAGGCTTTATGAAGCCTGGGCTCCGCAGTCTCAAAGAAATAAGCAAAATAAAATGAAATTCGCGGAGTGATACGTTAAAAAATAGGAACTAAAGAGAGACTGAGTTAAGTTATGAATTCAGTAACAAGATAGAAAAAAATTTTAACTCTGGATTGAAACAGAATACTTTCCTTTGTTAGTACGGCAGAAAGGAATATAAAATTGATATGAAGTACGCGTTCATATATTGTTTAGGGCCGCCATGTTGTTTTCATCAAGTCGAAGTGCATCACTTTAATCGCCCAAAACTCACCAATAATTCTTTGATTCGAGATCAAAAATCCAACAAACACATCGCAAACCGATATAAAAAGCTAGTTTATACCTTTAGACGCGAGGCTGTACTATTTTTTGTGGCAAAAAACTTTGCCGTAAATCACTTACCGCTGGAAGCCCTTCCTGCGGTTCAAAGGTGAACTGCAAACTGCAAACGTGACCGCAAGGCCGTGGTCACATGAAATTTTGCGGTTTGCGGTTTGCAGTTTCCCGTGAAAAACGTGATGCTAAAGTTGCCTGGTCCCTATACGGCGTCTTTCCAGGCCTTTCTCGGTCAATGCATTTCGGTGACGTATCCGAGACGAACGGCCGGGAGACGCCTAGACAATCTCGGAGTGCGCATGCGTGAGCATTTTTGAAACGTTCCCACGTTCAACTGAAATAATCTATAAATAACTTTGCGCGTGAATATCCTTCGCTTAAAGATCGGCCTTAACCTGGTTTCTGTTATCAAAGAACAAAAATATTACTTTGAATCGGAAAGAATAGTCTGTATAACGTGCAAGTAATTTCTCTTTTAGTTTATTTTCAAATGAACTATTAAAATGATATTTCCTTACTGATAAAAAGATTTGAAACAGTAGTTTGTTGACATTCTACCAAATTTAGAGACCAAATTCAACAGCCTGTCCGATTAGTCTGATAAGCTTCCAAATCCAAAAATTAAATTACATAAAATATTTCGAAGTGAAATGATAACGAGAAATTTATAGGAGCAAGCGAAAATATAATAGAGAAACGAAAGAATATATATCCAAGAATAAATATAAACTTATTTCTTTAGCTTACCTTCCGATTCTTGATCAAATAATTTTTTTGCGACGCTGTTTTGCCTAGCCTACAATAGTTTTTGAGATGAAATAAAGTTCAAATTAGTTTAATGAGATAAATGGAAAACAAAGGCCAAAGGACTTTCAACAATGAAAACGTGCATGGAATAAAAATCCTCGGTTTAACTCTTTATCCTCTGTACTCTCCATGGCTGCTGGACATCTTTCATCAGCGCGGAAAAGTTATTGACAGCTCGCCCGCTTCCAAAAGTTCCGCCTCAAGTGAGACAAAGGGCGCTTTCCATTTAGTCAAAATTTCCGGAATTTCCGGTTCGCCGGTAAATGGAACACGTTTCGTCGGTTCGTCCCACTGGAAAATTCCCAGAAAAAGTGGAAAATCTAAAAAGGTGGTCCCGTTTTCCCGGTTGGAATTTCCGAACGGAATGTCGTGTTCCATTTACGTTTCTCGTAGTTTGTACCAGTTCCAGGTCCACGGTCGGGTACCCGGCCACGTACCGGGGTTTACGACCAAATGGAACAACTTTTTACCAATCGGAAATTCCACTTTTGCTACCACCGAAATTTCCGGGTTTTTTTCGTAAATGGAAAGCGCCCAAAATGTCTCACTTCTCCGAGTTTAATTTGTCTAGGCCTCAAAAACGTTCTCGGACCACGTGACCCGAAACGCATCGGCTGCACATAATAATGAGGCCTAGGGACTAGGCAAATGCTAAAGGTCCCTATTATGTAGACGTGATCAAATTAAAATGAGAGATCATATGGACAGGCGGGTTACCCCACCTAAGCGGGTTACCTCACCTGCCTGGAGTCCCCCACCTCCATGTAAACAGGCCCTTAAATACAGTTATACCCAAGTAGGGTTCGTGGGTTAGTCTCAAGTTTAGAAACAAACAACCAATCAGAATGTGACACTTCTTTTCGCACGTGCGAGATGAGCATATATAAATATGCAAAATAATAACCAAGCGTGAAGCGAGGGGGAAACCAAAAACAACAAACAAAAAATTTACATCCGCTAATTAGAACTAACTGTCGTTAACTGCGTGGTGTGACCTCAATGTCGACCGAAAGCACCAACTACAGTTAGGTATGACATCACGTAACTTGTCACTAACTTAAGTTAAACTTTGGTTACGTCGTAGATGTGACCGCAACCATTGGTAGTCTTTACACTAGAGCCTAAATAAGCTAAGAAATATTTCGAGACAAGTAAATTTTAAATTCTTCAAGTAAAAGAAAGCTTCACACACAACCTATCTTTTTTACTTCAGGTTTACTTAAGCCTATTTTCCCACGCAACATAATTAAGATTGATTGACACGCTTCGCCTTTCTCAAAGCTTAGAAACCGCAAGTTCGCTAAGTCGGTTTTAAGGACGGTTTTCAAGTCACTTGAACATTCTTGAATCGTTTCAACTTTCCGACTTTAATGAGATGCAAAGTAAAGTTACTTGAGATTTTACTTAGGCCTTCACACGTATAAAACTTAGCAGCTCTTAAGTCTTACTTAACAGCCTAGTGTAAAGACAACCATTGTCTTATGTAGTAAGGTATACAAGAAACTTGACAGATTCCTTTAAACAATGTAATGAAGCAATACGCCATTTCCGAGTTGCTCCAAGCCTCCAAGCCTGGAACAAAGGCTAATTCAGATCACTAATGTAAAGCGCGCTGTCTCATTGTGTAATAGCGGTGTAATATCAAATATAAAATGGGATAATCAGTTCCAATACTTAGAGTCACTAATATGTTTTATTTTTATAAGACATCGGCTTACCCTTGTCCACTTCCTCGGTTCGGTTTGTGAAATATATGTTGTCATTAGCAGATATCAGGGGCACCCAACGAGAATATAGTTCAAAACCACATAAACATACAGCCTCGTTCCCAGTCGTCCTCGGCGATTTCGGATGTGACGTCACCTGTCAAGCTTGTCGGGAAAATTCGCCTAGGACGCCTGGCAAATAATGGCAAATCCAAAATGGCTGCGTCAAAGCCAAGAATGCGACTTAAGCCAAGATTCTTGAAGAAATGAAAAAAAGCGTCGGAAATAGGTTGGGATTCTTTAATCAACGTTTGCCATCAAATACATAGAGATGTTGGAGAAATTTCTTTCAAGGAATCGTTCCGCGTGTACACCTGTTATTATCGTAGGTCAGTAATTTCGAGTTTTGATTGTATCAAAAAATATGGATATAATTCAGCCCAGCAAATCGTCCCATCTCAGGAGTGTGTTTCATTGCCTGTCGGGAATGAGTTAAACCATGTTGAAGTTCGTGAAAGATGTGTCATCGAATTAGCTCTGTACTCAGCATATTATCTAGCGGATGAAAAACTTGTTAATCGAATCGCAGCACTGCGCGCATTGCAATTCAAGAGAGACTTCTAGCCTAGGTGTCGTCCTAAACGATAGTGGATCAACTCATGGACGCTGCTTTTGCCCATTAAACATAAAAAACAGAAGTCATAAAGTGCTGTCAGCCTTTTGAATATGCCTCAATGTGTCAGATACAAGCTATAGGGGCAGTTTACAACATACTGAGTGACATCAGGAACGCTCAAATATCCTGAAACGGCATCAGATGTAAAACACTTTGTGTCCATGCTTTTATAGCATTTAGCATGAATAAAATTTAATTCTCTATCCAAGTTATCTTCAACCAGTGTATCTACCCACCATTTAAATGAGATGATCCTTTGGGGACTGTTGAAAACTTTCAGCCAAGCTTTCTTTCTGATTCTATCAATGTCTGATTCTATTGTTGTTGATGTTGCACGACCCCATATCTATGTTCCACTGTACTACTATCTTATGTAAACTTAATCTCAACGGTGGTAGGATTAGCTCAGTTGGTAGAGTGCTTGACTGCAGAGTGGGAGGTCAGAAGTTCAATTCCTGGGGTCGGACCAATACTCAGGATCGTAAAATGACTGAGAAATGAAGGTATTACCTTTGCCCTGCTGCAAATGGCTAGACCTTTGCGTGGCTTGGATGTATGACCACGTAAAATGGCGGTAGTAGGCGTAAAAATAGTGTCCCCAATTATTACTTTCGTGCTGAATACACTGACACTCAAATTAAGTGCTTTCCTTTTTTTTTCTGTTTTCTTTTTTTATCTTGAACCACTTTCGCAGCAGTGGTCTTCCAGTGAGTCATAAGTTTAAAAAGAATATTACATGAGTTTTTGGTGCTATTTTCAAAATAGACATATTAGAATGTTCTGCATAAACTGGGAGCTGCAAGATACAAGTTCAAGGCACCAGGGTATTATAAAGAGCAAAAAGCATATTCAAACAGCTGAACACGGCATGTAGCTGGCCAAGCCAATGGTACCATTATGGCATCAAATTAAGTGAAAAAAGGTCTTAAGTTGGTCTTGAAGTTGTTTCCCCAACCCATTCCCACAACAAGCTTTACAAGACAAGAAGTAGTTGTTATCAGGTTTAAAAAAATTATTTCTCTTAACAAATTTCACAAGTGTTCAGAACTATGGCTTGTTAGGAAATCAATCTAATTTTCTTATAAAATCAATAAAGTTTTGTTTGATGAAATCTAAGAAATTCAATATTAAACATCACGGTTTCATATTTTTATTTTCATTTCAAGTTTTCTTCAGCTGAATTGCATTTTCCTTTTGCTCCTGTATCCTTCGCATCCCCAGTGTCGTCTATTACATGCTCTCCTTTCATCCCCTTTAAAACTTTCTGAAAATTAATGTAAAGGAAGGTAAAAAAAAAGACAATATATACTAAAAAACTAAACATTTGATGTACAATACCTTGCTCAGAAATTATGCCTGTCAGGCAGGTAAATTAAGATTAAGTGTCAACTATCCAAAATTTTCCCATCTCTAAAATTGCAGCCTCCTTCAGAGTTATTTTACTTAACGCATGAAAAAGGAAGTAGAATACTAAGCACTATCATGCACTAATTCTATTGTCTTCTTTTGTTTATTTGTACCTATATTTTGCACTAGTTGTTATTAAATGTTTCATGGGTCAAGTAAAATCGCTCTAAGTCCCAGTTATATAAAGGACTGAATGAAAGTCATATCATTAAAAATCAGGTAAAACTAAGACACCCGAATATTACATGAGTTACTGGTGCTATTTTCAAAATAGACTATTAGAATGTTTTGCATGAACTGGGAACTGCAAGGTACAAGTTCAAGGAACTAGGTTATCATAAAGAGCAAAAAGCATATTCAAACAGCTGAAAATAGCGTGTAGTGTTTTTTTTTTTGGCTTTTCGCGCGAAACCGTGTAAATGATTCTCGTGATTTTTTCCTACCAACGATTCGAACAACAAAGGCACAATAAGCCCACTATAGCCCTGTAACTAGGAAATCAAAGCCCATTTTGTTCAATGAAAATGAAGCCTTTGATACTAGTGTACATACAGTGTACAGTGATCGTCCCATGTCCAACTACGAAGAAACGTTTTTCTAGCTTCGTGTAGCGAACAAGACTGTGAACAATATGCAAAACCCCTCGTGTGTATCGGCCTATAACTTACCAGTGTTTTTGGGAAAACATGCCCGCCACATTTCGTTGCTATCAGTTGAAACGGTCCAAAGATGCTCGGAAGAGATGTATTAATCTCATGAGTCCGAAATATTCCGTGATCGTCGCAGAAAACAAAGGATTTTCGTCGAGAAATTATCTGGGACTTTTTCTCGTCGATCTGGGACTTTTTTTGCCATTTTTTGCCAGGCCTCGCGCTATCGCGCTCGGCTCCAAGCCTCCTCTGGTCACTCGGATAGCGCGACGTACTTTAGTATTTAAACAGTAGATAAAGGCTTATTTTTATCCCCTAAAAATATTTCATCTGTTCGGATTTCCTAGCTGAAAGTATAGTGATCCGAAAATTATAGGGATGAAAATCTACCTTTCCGAAAATTTCAGCCAGAAAAAAGGCTCCCGAAAATTCTAGGTGACCTTTTTAGGGTAAAAATCCGTTAAAAATGGGCAATTATACCATTTTTTTGATGTTCGAAAATCCTAGGAGAAGCAGGCAAGCAAGAAATTTTACAGAAAATGATCCGAAAATTCTAGATCTCAAATCGTCTTCCGAACAGATAATTTTCCGAAAATTGTCGTTGGGTGCCCCTGAGATATGTTTGTATATTGGGCAAAAATACCCTTCCTCATGAACTGTATCCTTTCAGGAGTTTTTATTCCAGCTGAATCAAAGGCTACACAGGTAACCTGGGCAGAAGTGAACTCAACAATCCCAAATTTGTCCAACGCTGAAGGGAAAGGAAAAAAGAAATTGAACCTTGTGCTTATGGACTTGAACTGGCGATTAACAAATTAAATTGAATTAAATTAAATTTATATGATAATACATAGTTTCCTGAGAAGCTCAGTTCTCTTCAGCATGTTTAAGTCACATTCTCAGTACGAATTTTATAGCTGTAAACAATGGTTCAGCAGTTTTACTAGAGCATCCTAGGAGATAGCCGGTTCCAGGCTCCACGATAGTCGGGTCCGCTGGATTGAGAAAGCACAAACACGAAAAAATAACGGGAGAAAACCGTCTTTCCCACCCCACCAACTTTTCGCCTGCCTTTTACTTTGACGCTTCTTCCCCACTATCTGAGAGCCTTGAACAGGCTACCTAAGAGAAGAACTTGAGTTGGTTCGAATTATTGGGAGGTTCGAAACATTGAGGGGAGTTTCAAAGTCTAAATTAAATAGAAGACTCCGCCAGAGTTTGAGCTATTGTGAGGATCGAGAAACCGAGGGTTTCACGAATCGGTGGAGATTGGTTTATCAGTGAATCTGTAGGTGTGTTAGAGCTAGTAACTTACCTCCATAAAATCCCTCCACAGAAACCGTCAAAATTCCAAGCGCAATTACTATGCACCTCACTGAAAAATCCATGTTGTCTGAGATCTTAAAGAACAAAGTACAATTCAGGTGGTTATAATGTAGGTCGGTATACTGAAAGTAGCATTTTGTTATTGCAATACCATTTTTTACTAGCCTGGAATTTGTTCCTCGCGTGAAGCTGTAACAAATGAAAATCAATAAAACAAGGGCAAGAGTATTAAAAAGTATAATTATTTCTTAAATTTACGCCTTAGGGACTTATGCTTTGTTTACTTAGGTGAATAAATACGAAGTTTAAAATGCACGTTCGACGCCTCAATGCTAAATCTAATGAATCAATCTTACTTAAAATGTAATTAATCTGTATTAATACTAAAACGTCCTTTAAGAAGCAATGTACAGAGCCTCTTTCACTCATCCTACACGGAAACAGCGTACTACACAATAGAGGAAAGAGAAAAAACCACCGAAAAAACAGAGTCTAATGTCGATCTGAGACTGAAAACATCCTAACAGCTGCTTATAAGTGACACTGTCTCGCGTCATATTGGATAAGTTGTTACGTAAGCGGAAGGCCTGTTCTGTGAATGCCTGTTTTGGTAGTAACGCACTGAACATGATAAAAGATTTGTCTACTGAAAATTAAAAATGTGGAGTTACTTTGATTAGAAACACCAAGCTGCACAATACAGTATTTATATAAACGAAAGGGAAAAACCACAGCCGTAACAGGGTCACCACAATATCTAACCTCAGTATTGAGGCTGAAAATATTCTAAAACGTGTTTGCAAGTGACGCTGTGTTAGCTTTTAAATTTTAGTGAGTTAAATAATAAATATCACTGGACAAATAAGCTGTCATTGGACTCTCTATTTGTGTGAAGGAGGACACGAGCTGAATATGATTAATCATTTGTCTGCTAAAAAAATGTCAAATCAATTTGAGCTAGCCCCAAAATCGAATCGATTAAACTCTTTATAGAAGAACTCAAGGAGTAAAAATAAATTCTTGTAACACTTGCGGACCGTCATTCAAGGGAAAAAAGCCTTTCCATAGACTGGGTGTTTCGTCTTATAAAGCAGCTCTTGTAGTATGAAGCAGTTCTAAAAGAAGGCGCTTCTAAAAACCAGTTTTCGTGATTCTAAAACTGACAGTAAGCCAGTCTAAGGGAACCATATCGGATAATAACGATTACCATTTCTGGGTTAATAATTAACTGCAAAATTAACTACATTCATCGATTTTGAGATAAAGATAGACAATAAAATCAAGTAAAAACTTTCGGCTGTTTTCTCAGGCTATTAGATGCCACTGAAAGGCTCATCATTCTCAGATAGATCACTCAGTAAATTGCGTGCACGTCAAGGTAAGAGAGGGCAACCACACCTTTCAAAAGGGTCATGGAGGTATCTTATATTGTTCCTAATTTTATGACGAGCATCCTTGTCACTTTTATATG